ACACTTGATCTCAGCCAAAAGGCCGAGAAGCGATAACATTTTATTAAACTTCTTTGCTAAATGAAAGCCACAATTTGAAAAGTGCACAAAAATAAATGTTTTCATGTGGGTTTTTTTTCCCATATCCAATTTTAAATAACTTTTTGAGAAATTAAAATGTACATTTGCATGTTGATTTAGGTTTACCAAGTTGAAGAAGAAATGCGTGGGCTTCTGGAAGAAACAAGCAAAAACAAAAGATCTTTGGAAGAAAAAATTAGGCAACTTGCTTGTGCTCTGTGTGAAATTCAGCAAGAACTGTGATGGCCTGAGAACAAAACTACTGGAAGTGGACCAGCACCCTACTGTATAAAAATGATTAAATATTGTACAAGTAGTAACTGTATGACTTTGAAATGTCTCTGTCTACATTCATTCTGAATATACTTTAAAAGACTTGTGATCAAGTATTTATTAATTGTATATACAAGTTTTTATAATAAATTGTTAATACTTGTATGTATTAGAAAAAAACTCAGAAAAACCAGACTTAAGACACTTGTTTTTGTGCTCTACATTATTTGGTAATTACATATCGGACCATAAATATGTGACTGAAATCTAAGATTAGTGCCTTACTATATTAGGGACAGTTTTAATTATTGTTATTGTGTTTTTCAAGAATGAATGATATTTATTGTCCTTTTAGTAGATGTGGCTCTAGTTTCAATTACTTAAAACCTAAGTATAGCCCCAAAGTATTGAAATCTACATGATAAGAGATGTGGCAATCTTAAGAAAACATATGTAGCCATAGCCGTATCACTCACCTAAGCTTCTATAAACCACATTTGACTGAGGAGAACCATGAAAGGGGCAGGGACAAACCACATGATGCAGAGAAACAACTTAATTCACCCCCAGCTAATCAGAAACAAGGGAAGCCAGGGGGGGATGGCCGACTGACGTTTTTGAGATTCTAATAACTCAAGAATTCTATATCCACCAAACCATTATTTCAAAATAAAGACATTTTGAGGTAAACAAAGACAAAATTTATTGCTAGCCAACCTGGATTAAAATGCTAAAAAATGTCTAAAAGCCCATAGTAAATGACACCACACAGTGACTCACTGGAAGAAATGAATTTTTGAAATAGTAAATATGTAGATATAAAGAAGAATATGCCTTTCCTTTCAGCTAGGAGACATTATCTAAAGCAAATAATCCACTGCCATCAAATGAATTCCAACTCAGCCACTCTCTTACAGTGTTTCTAAAAGGATTTCTGTGGGTAAAACTGCCAGCCTTTCAGTTAGCCGAATGCTTATCCCCAGTGCCACCAGGAATCTCTCAACAAATAGTGCTCTTCAATTTGTAAAAATAACCCAAAGTTGGGAGAACTAAAATAGGGTTGTAAAAGTTTTTACCAGATTAGTGTTCATCTTGAAAGAACTACCATAAGTTCAGATGCATGGGGAAATCCCTAGAGAAACCACCCACAAAGTAAGTGCCAGTCTTAAAAATGATATTCTACAAAAAATATTGATGTGAATAACAGGGAGGGCAGAGTGGAGATCCAAAGCCCAACTATAGACAATTGGACATCCCCTTACAGAAGGGTTACAAGGAAGAGAAGAACCAGTCAGGGTGCAGTATAGCACCCTAGTTCTCTAATTCTTCCCTCCTGCCCACTATCAGGACCCCAATTCTACCTTACA